ATAAGTCGAGATCGCCGCGGAACGTTCCCGGTGCCAGAGTGCTCCGGAAAAACGAACTCGGCGAGCCAGCTTCGCTCGCGGTCGGCGCAGGTGAATCCAATCAGAAAAGCAGAAGCAACGTTGTCTCGAGGCAGGTGCCAGGCCAGCGCGAGACGGCGGTCAATGGCTCTCCCGGAGGACCGACCAAACGCTTTTTACACGAAAACCAGAAAAGAACGGACTAATTTCGCGTCCAAGCTCTATCACTTGGACAAAGAGGGGAAACCCTCGACACCTCTTTCGACCTTTCTTGCACGGCTCGACATTAATTGCCTTCTCGAGATAGGAGCTAAAGTTTTGGAACAGGGAATTTTGGGGGCACGGAATCGTGTCACGGTCGTTTCGTTTTGGCTTTTTGGGAAAGAGGACTCCTCTAACTATTTGTGGCGTGGCGATCACGAGTCAGTGGGGACGGCAAAGAAGCTTGACGCGTAGACGTCGGATGCGGTGAGCCGCAAAACCCCGTCGAATCTACACCCCTACCGGTTTATCGGGTTCGCACCCTCGCTGTCGGTAGGCTGTCGTGCGAACCCATGCCCGCCCCCGCATCCAGCTGTCGCGTGGCTCTTGCTCTCGCCCTGATACTCACCAGTAGACCGTTCTATTTCACCCATTTACCACCCCCGTTGTTCTCTACGGTCCCATTTTGACCGCTCACGATCGCCAAAACTTCTGATTGCTGCTTGACGCGAGACCACACAACACTTAGGTATTCTCAGATAACAGAACATGACAGTTCCGTGATGTTAATTTTATATTAGGATTTTTATTTTAGACGACTAACAAATTATTACAAATTATTTCATCGCTTGGACAGCGGCTCACATTTTTCTGGAACATACTAGAGTGACAAAATGAAAGAGAATAAGAGGATAGAGAACTTCAGGGGAATAACCTTAGGTTAATGGATAGGAAGTAAAGAGAGAGAAAGGGGGATAGAGTACATTTTACATAGAAATTTGTGGTTTTCGTCGTTTACATTCATATTCTTATCATATAGTAGTTTCTTATTAAACGTTTATCCATTAATGTGGTGGATTAGAAACTTTTTAATTTCGTCGAAATATTTATCCACCTACTCGAATTTTTTTCTCGAAGGCGCGTAGGATTTCGGGGGTATGTGCATTGACTAAAAATGATCGTAATTGGCCCCCCAAACCAAAAATAATTTTTCCATACCGATTTGAAACTTTTCATTTTCGCCGAAAAATTTAGACACTCGAATTTTTTTCTCGAAAGTGCGTAGGAATTGTGGGGTATGTCTAGTCACCAAAAATGATTGTAATTGACCCCTGAAACTGAAAATATTTTTTTTAGAACGATTTGAAATTTTTTTTTTTCGACATAAAATTTCAGCACCAATTGGACCATTCTTATGGGGTTTTCCACATTTTACGGGGTTAAGGAACAACATTTCGAATATTTTTGGAATTTCTATATATTCTTTACCAAAATACGCGTCGTTTACATTTTGAAACATTAAAATCCTCCTATCCGTTCAGGAGTTATGATTTTTCAAACATACCCATAAAATCAGTGACATTCGTAGCAGTCAGATTGGGCCACGAATGTCCATAATGTGAAAGGTCTACTCGTATACCTCGTCTGTGATTTCGTTCGAACGATACCATAACCGATAAAAATGAACGTAGTAAAAGTTCACGTAGGATTTTCATAAATCGCGACGTCTCGACTTTATTTTCTCCAGTCGTGTGCATCAATGGATTTTATTCGACTCGTCATGAATCTCATTCGCTACACTGTCCAGTCGATTCGACACGCATCGCCAGTCCGCCGCCGCGTAAGAAACGAGAATCGTTCGTCCGGTAGACAAGCGGCGATTCGCGGCATTACCAAAGCGATGAAATTTGTTCTATCCGAAGCGTTTTCTCGGGCGATTTCGTCGCGTATCGTAGAAGCACGCGGTCGCGTTCTTTTTATGGGGACCGCGTTCCGTTGGAAATTGGAAAGTCGTCGGGGCGATTCTCGGAAGGTAAACCACCCGAGAGGCAAGGAAGACGACAACGTTGGGGCTCCCTGGTTTTAATTTATGCGCGGCACAGCCGAAGGCGTTATTAGTCCTAGCTGGCGTACGATGGGCGTGACGTCACGCGGCTAAAACAAAGGACCCTATCCGTGCCCATCCCACGATGGGTCTCTTTCAACTGTGCCGACAGGAGGCCGCGAAAGCCTAGGACGAATCTCGTTTGCCCGTACGGTTTACGCCTCGCGAGCTTTCATGCCACGAACGAATCCTGTTTCGTTCGTTGGAATACGGGCGAGCAAGGCAATCGAAAGAAAGGCATTATACACCCTGCTATATACGCGCGGCAGCATGCATAAAACATAGAAGCCTCGCGAAGAATGGCGGTAATTGACGGAGGACAGGTATATAGAGGCGAACTAGTAAGTACTACATATATCGGCCGACTCGAAGGCGCCTCGCTCGTGCTGCCAACATGCAATAACGACTTCTTTTCGTTCTGCGCTGCGTAATTACAGACCGGCCGGAATTGCCGGCTAATATCGCTCTAATCAATAATCCTATTAACGCGGTCTCGCGAGCGTTCTCGTTAACCGCTCGTCCGACTAAATTCATCGCCCGAACCGAACGAGACGCGCGACGAGTTTCTAACCCGGATGTCGCGCGAATGTGTACCAACGACCGTAAGTGGAACTAGAGTGCCCCGGTGCTCGATCGTCGCGGAATGAAAACGGAGCCAGAGGAAGCTAATTGAGAGACGTCGTTGTCTCCACCAGGCCACTGTCATATCATCCTGGCGGATCAATACGTAGCTCGCCTACAACCTGCACTCACGAAACTCGAAGAGGGCGTGGCTCGTACACCACCGGCCGAGAGATACTCTCTCTCTCCCTCTCTTCTATCCTCCTCTTTGCCTCCCCCAGGCTCTCCTCTATTTCCTCTCCCCTTTCTGCCGGTTCTCGCCCTAACCACGCGACCAGGAAGGACGATTTTGTCTTTCATCCCCTCCGAGCGTCCAACACTCACCGTCACCTTTCTATTCGTCCACCACTCGCGGACCGTTTCGCTCGACACCCTCTTTTGGAAATATTTTTAAAATGCCTCGACCAAATTCCCAGCTCAGAATCGGGATCGTGAATCTATTAAAAAGAGTTGTCGCGACGGTAACGAGCCCGAGGTGGACGAAGAAATACGCCGATAGGTTCGAGTCGATGATCCGTTTCGAAGGAGCCCGGGATTTTTTAAAGAGCGGAACGTCCAAAGAGCTCCGCGTTCTCCGATGACCGCAACCGTGGTTATTACCCTAGCAACCTTGCCCGAAGTCACGGGATGGGGTGACCACGGATTGGTAGGGCTTTATCTCGCTCTTTTCCCCTCTTTGTCTCTATCGTCGAAGGGTGTGCGCACTCGTTGTCTTTGGTCGGTGTTGGTGCAAGGTTGAACCGTGTGGGGGCGTGTCGCCTCGATGGCGCCGGCTGCTAATGGCTGCGCGGCCCGCCAGACTTTAATTTCCTGCCGCTTCCGCGGACCCTTTGCCTTTACCTTTCCACGTCCGAATACGCTTCGGACCCTTCCCAGCCTCCAGCCTTTCGGTAGCCACCGACCGTCTGCTCGTCTTTCGTTCCGTGGAACGACGTCGCGATGATTTGCATGGGACCGAAATCGCGAATCTGCCTCCACTATCCAACGACGACGTTAGAAAATCCCATTACTCGAGCATCCGATCAACCCTGCGTCTTTAATCCTTCGAAAACACAGTTTACAGTAATATTAATTGTTAGATGTTCAGTGGAAATAGGTCGTGGTAATAAATGGTCTTTACTTTTCTGGGGTACGTACTAAGTATATTCTGATTGTTTGCACGTTTACAGAGTGAGTAATTGGTGATATGAAAATCGCGTGAACAACGGTCCTCGGTTGCCCCACCATAATCATCCTTGTTGCCAAAAATCGCGGATTCTCAACATTAATAATCCCCAAAATTTACCATCGTGTATCATTTAAAATTATCTTTTTAGAGTTAATCTAAAAAATTAATTAATTTTGTCTAAATGTGGTCGTACAAAAAATGGCCACGAAAAAGAATAGATTCGTTTTACGAATACCTCGTGATTGTAAAAATATATTGATTTTAGTATATAACTACATAAGACTCGATGACGAGTGATTGTGAAACTTGACGTCTAGAACTTGTGACAGACTAGCAATTGTATGACGAGGGGTTAACTGTTTGAGTGCTATGGACGCATGTATGCGTTCATGTCGCTTACTGCAACACAATTATTTTAAAATAAGTTCAATAGCATGTATGACTTAGTTACGGGTTGTATAATCGATCAACGGACATTCCGTGCCCCACGAGCACTTTGGCCAAGAGTACTCAGCACCGAGAGGGTTAATCGGAATCAATTTTTCAGTAATTTTTATAGTTTGTGTGCGTCGCGTAATATTGGAAACGGTTTGGCGGCAAAGTGGCCGGAGGGACGCGTATCGTTTCTCCCAGGCAATCTTCCGTCTCTTCTAGGATAGGACCGGCAATTTTGTGTGTCATTATACACCCTCGGGAGAAGACGCGGTTCCGGCGGCCGATGGCGAGCGGAGTCGGGTATCTTTTTTGGGTCGATTTAGCTGCGATTATGGCCGGGCATACAGCGTGTTCTCGGTCGTTGGATTTCGATATTGTGAGGCCGCGTTACCTTGAGAAAGCGTCTCAATCGGGCCCGAGGTCCATTTCGTCGGATCTGTATATATATATATATAGCGAGCTCCTAATTCGTGAAGCCCGCCGCAAACCTCGTTATTATCGGGGTTGCGTAATGGTATCGGAAGAACGGGCCCGTAATTCCGTCGGGTAACACCTGCTCCGTGAACGCGTTTTCTCTTCGTAATAAAATGGTGGCTAGCGGGGGTCGTAGGAACCGATCGCGGTGAAGTTGGAACGGAGTCGTAACCTGGTCGTTGGTTTTTGTTGTTTCAGGACCATCCGGGTTTACGTGGTACGCCGCTGGCGATGCTCGCAGCTCAGTGCAACAAACTGAGCAGCAAGAGTCCTCCGCCGCTGGCGGACGCGGCCGTTGGCAAAGGTTTCCATCCGTGGAAAAAGAGCCCGCAGAGCAGCGGTAGCTCGCCGCAGCACTCTACCGGTAGCGGGGGCGGGGGAGGCGGAGGAGGCGGGGGCGGAGGTGGATGTACGACAACCGGAGTGAGTCAAAGACCAACCGCGACGAGCAGCGCGGGCAGCACGACCGGCGGTTACGCGAGAGCGCCGGTGACATCTTGCGCGTCCACGGCGCCCCAGTACGGCAGCGACCTGTACTTCCCCGGCACGGCGAGCGCCCAACCGGCCAGCGATCCGCACCATCATCAGAGCAGCCTTCTAGGGAAGGTCGAAGGAGCGACCTTGGGCTCGGTGTACGGCCGACACCCGTACGAGTCGTGGCCGTTCAACGCGATGCCGGGCGCGACGCACGGCGGTATCAAAGCGAGCGACGGCTGGTGGGACGTGCACGGAGCCGCGACCGCCGGCGGATGGCTGGACGTGAGCAGCACGGTCGGCGTCGGCGTCCACGCCGCTCAAATGGCCAACTACTCGGCCGACTATTCGACCAGCCTCGCGCTCGCCGGCAATCATCTGTTGACCACCGCGACCACCGCCGGTCATAATTTACTGCAAGACACGTACAAATCGATGTTACCGGGTGGCCCGCCCGGTTTCGGTCTTCATCATCACGCGGCCGCGACGGCGGGCGCTGGCGCCGGTGCCGGTAGTCCGCAGGGTAGCGGAGGCGGCGTCGGCGTCGGGGCTGGCGGCGTCAGTCAAGCCCCGTCGCCGCGCTCGCAAAGACGGTACACCGGCCGAGCCACCTGCGACTGCCCGAACTGCCAAGAGGCCGAGAGGCTCGGTCCGGCCGGCGTCCATCTCAGGAAGAAGAACATCCACAGCTGTCACATACCGGGATGCGGTAAGGTCTACGGGAAAACGTCGCATCTGAAGGCCCACTTACGGTGGCACACTGGTGAGCGACCGTTTGTTTGCAACTGGCTTTTCTGTGGCAAGCGGTTCACACGTTCGGATGAGTTGCAGCGGCACCTTCGAACCCACACCGGCGAAAAGAGATTCGCCTGCCCGGTCTGCAACAAGCGGTTCATGCGCAGCGACCATCTCGCGAAGCACGTCAAGACCCACAGCAGCAGCAGCAGCAGCAGCGGCACCAAGGGCAAGGGGGGAGCGGGGAGCTCGTCAGCCGAGTCCTGCTCCGACAGCGAGGACAACGGGAGTCAGCAGAGTCCCACTTCCAGCTCGGTGCCGCCGCAGCCGCAGCCGCCGCCGCCGCCGCAGCAGCAGCAGCAACCGGGCCAGCAACCGGGTCAGGCCCAGCAACAACAAGCTCTGGTGGCGGCGGCGGCGGCGGCGGCAGCGGCGGCGGCGGTGGCGGCGGGCCAGGACACCAACACCACATCCCAGACCACCACCAGTCTCGGCCATCAGCCGACAACGCCCATGACCCCAATACAGATGACCCCTCCGCCTCTGACCCCACACCATCCCCACCACCCGCATCTCCCTCCTCTAATGCACCATCCTCATCATCACGCAACATCCGTGTCGGCGGCGGCCCACCACCCGCACGCGGGGATGAGCATGCACTGAGCCCGGTGGGGCCCGGAGCCGGTACCTGCAGTTCCGCTGCCGCAACGGCCCTGGGCTCCCCCTTATCCTACCCCCTCAACCTGAACCTCGTGCAGAATCACGCAACCATCGCCCACCATCATGCCACCGCCCATCACCAACACCAGAATCACCATCACCATCATCACCATCACCACCACCATCACCAACAACAACAACAACAACAGCACTCGCGTCAAAGCAACTCCTATTCCGTGCAACAAAATCCTGGCACGCCGGGGACCGCGCAGACTCCCTCACCCTCGTCCCCCGCGCCTGTACATAGTCTCTAGGTTCACGCTTCGCCTTTCTCGAACTCCCTCTACCTCTACCTCTCGCCCTAACCCTCCTTTTCACGCTAGCCGCGATATCGTTATTTCGAATAGCTTCGACCGGTGCCTCAAATCCGACGCGATTCTCAATTTTTCTCGATAGTTCTCCAACCGTCGTTCCCTCTTAACGCTCGCACGACTATCCTTTAACACCTTTACTGCCACGTCGCCCATATATGGATGACAGAATTTTTAACAGTGGAACAAAAACAATTAATCAATTCTTCGTAAATTCTACTGAAGTTACGAAAATAAGTACTACGACAAGTTTTAAGTTACGTAGTTTACAATTGTCCAAAATCAAAGTTTTGCTCTCGTAAACAATTTTACCGTTTCAGGCTGGTAGTCAGGATGTTAAATAGTCGATCGCTGGGTCTTTCTAGGTCCATATTTACGCTTCTGACCCATAAAAACGTAGAATATTTGTTTCGCCCACTCGTTAGAATACTCGATGATCCTACTTTTGTCCTAAATATTTTTCAGTTTTAATAACCTGAAACCTTTGTATTCGTGGCTCGATTCAAGTTCCATTCGTGACAACGCAAATTGAATTTAGGAAATATAGGAATAAAATTTAAATTACAGGTATCTATACATTTCTGTTGGGAGAAAAATATTTTTTTTATTTTTAAATGTCACTGCACACAGTTGCAATTGGTATACTTCTTTAAATTAATAAACATTCTCGGAGTGCACACGGTTAAAGGAATACATACATATTTTATTGGATTCTTGCTCCCAAAATACACATAACATTAACGTTTTAGAAAATGAGGGAAACGAATGATCCAGCAAACGCCGGTGCGAGCGTTAAAGGTTATTTCGGGATCCAGGCAACCTTCGAAGCGATTCGAATCGTTCCGTCGACGGATACGTATCCTGAGACGATTCCTTGCCCCCCGTCGGTCCTTCTTCTTCCCCCGTTCGTCGGCAGTTGGAGCATATCCCAGCACCCGATACTACCGACTTTCTTACTTGTAAATACTATACATAGCGCGTGAGAAAGATATTATATTAATTAAGCGGTGTAATGTTGTAAAAAATTCTATATAAACGCACTGTCGCGCTGTACCATACACTGACACGTAGGACACACGCAACAAATGCATATTACGAAAAGGCGCGCGTAATCGTATCCGTTTCTCGCGTATCGTGTTCACTCGCGACGAGGAATCGACGAAAACAGACGCGCGGACGTCCGCGTACGATCGTTCGATCCAGGGATTAGACACGTTACGATCCGAGGCAGGTTCCAAACGATCTCGATCGCTCGGACAAATAAAAAAAAAAAAAAAAAACGGAACGCGTGACCGGAGGATTTTTCATTGTCGCGTTATTAAATATTATTTCCCCCCTGACGCGCGATTCTGCGTTTGGAACTTGGCGTTCGGACCGCTTTCCCACCATCGACCGACGACCTTCTTCGATCTTAAATATCACAATATTATGAATTAATTAATTAATTATTATTATTATTATTAATTATTATTATTAATTATTAATAATTATTATTGATGTATTATTATAAAGATTATAAATTCATTTTGAAAGAGATAAAGAGAAAATAAACGATGCTTTTGTGAGTAACGATGTGCCTGGATGATGATTCCCTTCGTGATCGTGTTCTCCACTAAACGTCTATCATCCCCTAGCTCCGGCCCTTGCTCCTGCTGCTGCTACTTTGGAGATCCCGCTACCGCCGTCCCTGGAAGACGCCCCGGCTCCAGATCGTTTTCCCCTCGTCCCCGAAAATAGCGGAGAGGACCGTCACTCGACACGATTATCGACCGTGATCGGCGCAAAAGTAAGTTCACACTCGTTGGCACTTTCCATCCCTCCTGCGTTTAATCCGGGGCAGCCTCTCGTTTCTCGAACCGAGTTCGCGATTTCTCGATATCGAAAGCAACTTACGAAGGAACAGCGTCGAGCGGGATACCTAACTCGTCATCCGTTCGATCGTTTTTGCAACCAAATACGAACGTTCGAGATACGCTAGACCTTCGACGGCTAATTTGCCGGCGGTTGCACGCGCGATTTTTACATTAAAATCGTTAACCGGCACTTTCTTCCTTTGTCGGTCCGCGAGCGAAACGACGCCAGGCCCGGTCGGGTTCTCTTTTTATCACGGCGATCTCCTTACCTTGATTAACCCGAAAAGGGTTTTTATCTACTCGACGATATACGTGTACTCCTGTTGGCCTATTTCTGCCGGGGCACTCGACGTTATTACCGAGAATGACTCGGCTCGTTCGAACCCTGGCCCAGCCTTTCTTCGCTAATGCCTAAATAATGACGTATATACGCGACATGCAGCTTTATAAGCTTCGATAAATTTAATTACTCCCAGTTCCCGTCCGCGTAATTTTCTTTTAATCGCGCGCCATTAAGGCGAGGAGATGCGTGCGCGGTGTATCGTGAACGGTCTTCGCGACAAAAAACCTCGGCATGTTTATTCGTCCAGCATTCGGAGCGCGGCAATTATTTCGAAAGCGTTCCCGACGGAGAAAATTGAGCGGTCTGACGGCGGCAGGCCGTAACCGAGCTGTAAACGATCCCCGTTTCGCGCTGCGTTTTAAATCCGATCAATATGGCAGAGATTACGGAATAAGATCGTTATGCAAATCAGCCACGTAGGGTCCTGGAAGCGTCGCGACGCGACGATTCGTGGGGGATGCGGTTAACGTCGAGCATCGTACAAGCCCGGGGGATGGGTTTTTCGGTGATTTAACCAACGAGGGTGAACGTTTGTTATTCAATTTTCGACCCCCTCGGTACCAGCCACTGTTCACCCTCCACGACCCACGGATCATCGCGTCTTTACGACCATCGCCGTACTCCTCCGTTTCTCCTCCGTCGGGAGATACGATCGCCATTTATATGTCATCCTCCTCCATATGCATGATTTCCCATCATTTCTTCTCCCTTTCCCTCTGCCAAGCACGTTGGTTACTCGTCACAACGCATTTAGGATCACCGGGCGCCTTAAAACTCGAGAACGCTCGTTGATTTTCGGCCGAGAGGACGTAGAATTCGAAGCACCGTTCGGAGGTAAATCAGAAAATGTATGTAAGTTTATCAGCGATTCGATCGGCGGAATATTTTCTTGGGAATCTTTCGATTCTCCGTAACGCGAGACTAGCGATGCTTCGGTCGTTAATCGATTCTTCTTTATGTCGCAGGAGACGCCAAACGACGCCAGGAATCGTAACTTTTCGAAAACAGATCACGAACCTTTGAGGCCGAGATCGTATTGCAAAAGCTGACGCCCAGTGTTATGTTACAGATATCCTCAGGAATACGTAACCCCTTGTACATTCAAGAGAAATAAACTATGCAAGAAATTAGGTGGAAAATGTCTGTGCGATGTTGAAACAATTCTTCTCCCTCCTCTGATCATTCCGACAATACCAGCGAATAAACCGCGAGGGGTCCAGGGTCATTAAATTCATCTGGTCTTCGTATAACTTTCCACCATAAAGACAAGGGTGCGCTTGACAAAGACTCGACGTGCGATTAATTTCACGACCCTGCACCCCTTTCGATCGCGAGACGAACGTGACTGCTCCGATATTTACAAAAAATCCGTAGTTTAACCTCTTCAGGGACGAATTTTTTTTTCCTTTTTTACGTAACTATAATTATTAAAAAAAAACTAAGCGTCCACATATGTGGCCAAGGGCGTGAAGAGGTTAAACATTTTTTTATTATACATTTACCAGCCAAAAAGGAAAAAGAAACGCGTTATCGAACGGACGAGGAAGTACGAGAGATCAAACGCGACTGGTACTTTGAAACTCCACACCGCTCTCGACTTCTGGGACAGCTAGAAGATAATACGGACAAATGGTCGAAAGACTCGCGCTAAATATCTTGGGCGACCCTTCCAGGTCCGTTAACAAACCGCATGAAACTAACGACTCGACCTGGTTCGGGAACACCACGGTTTCGTATGTACAAAAGCTGACCCGCCTACTCCCCCTGTGCATCTCGGTGGTCCGAAAAGGGAAGCAGAGTATCTTTCGACGCGTAGCCGCTATTATTTCCAGCCTCAATTAAGCCGTTCTATTCTACCGAGATTTTTAATTTCATTTCTCCGGGATACGAAACGCTTCTATTTCGCAAAAACAGCACGCGTGTATTCTTTGATCCGTAATTGCCTTGAAAACCACGAATTCCGGTTCGCGAAAGATTTTAGCAAAATGATATGATGGAAACGTGTGATTAAAAAATATTTGAAACCCGTCGAATATCCTATTAGATGTACAGTTGCTCCCGCTCGTATCCGTAAGGTATAATTAAATAAATTAAAAAGAAAACGTATCAACGATTGAGCTAGATTGGAAACATTGGTTCTTGTGTGATTATTCGCAAGCAGGTTTTCTCATAAACTAGTTTCCTGCAAAGACTGCGAACTACCATTATTTTTGATATAATAAACAAGCGATGCTCAAATACGTAGCATAATGAAAAATGAAGGTAAAGTTCAGACTAAATGAGTAGGAACTTCTGTAAAATATTGAATATATCCAACATCTACAAATGTAATTATATTATTGTGTTTTGTTACCAAATGTAGTATCTAATAAATGTTATTTAAAATAGATCTTGTGTGATCAGCGAAGGGAAGCTACATTGGGCGCGGTCGAGTACTTTGGGATGGGGTGACCACTTGGGAAAAACACTGTTCTTGATTTGTTCTATACTTGTGTTTATATTATTTATATCTTAATATTAAAAAAACAGAGAAAAAACTACTTCATAAATAGAAATATAATATACACAATAGTGTAATAAAAATAACACTAGTTCTTAAAACAAAACAAAAGAACATAATTACTTTGTATATAGAAGTAACACACAGTTCTGATGAACAACATTTGGTAGAAGTAAAATGAGAAAGAGTTCATAGGAAGAAACAAATTTCTTTCCATTTACAGTAAATCACGGTTACGGTGTACGAATACCGGTGGTAGTCGACTGTATTTCCGTCTCCGTGTGGTTCCTAAATTGCTTAGAATTTTCCCTGCCCTAAATTTTCTGGCTTAGCCCGGGAAATGAGTCTTATTCCGCGCCCGTTCGTCTCGGACCTCGACTGCCAGGTCTCGCATTATCGACCGACTTGCGCGACTACCTGCAAATCTGCGTCGAAACGGAAATCCTGACCGGTAATCTTGGTGGCGCGTAACGAGCGAACAGATTAGGCTGCTCGTAGGATCCCAACGATGTACCTAATAAAGGAGGCTAACGAGACCGAGGGCATGTGGTTAACGACAATCTATCCCGGCCACGGACCGAGTCTACGAGACACATGCGTTTGGGAACCCGTGTATCGCGTATACACACGAATTCTGAACGCACGTAAGAGTGTACACGTGCAGATACCCGAAAGGCACGCGCGTCTTGTTACCAAAGTGCCGCAACCTCGTGAAGGACCACTGGAAAAGGACTCTCTCCCTGTATCTCTTCGAGTTATCGAGACGAACAGATTAGGATACAGGATTTCGGCTCTCGAGAAGGATTACCCTCGAAGAGTCATCCGGGTCTCGCGTAAATTATCGACAAATTAGTGACGGTGTAGGAAGACAATATGTAGGATTGCCCCGGATGCATAAACTTCTTTCGAAAACGAGTTCGAGTTGCCGCGTCTTGAAAGTCACTCGAGACGTAAAAAATTCTCAGGATGAGGTTCTTCGGCCTTACTGTTCGCTTTATTCGAAATATTTTGTTATATGTTGGTGATTATACTCGGCAGGTGTTGCTTGTTAGGCTAACTGTTGTATTATGAGAATTGCTAAGCTATGCCAAAGGAAGCTTAAACTCAGAATAGAGAATAATTTTCTTTCTATTGATATAATCTATCGTGAAAGTGAGGGACTGGACTCCTTGTAACGATAAAGTTAGATGATATGTTGTATGCCAGTGTGTCTCATCATGTTTACGCACATATCCTGTTTGTTAAAAATTGCAAAACGTCCCAAATTCATTTCCTTGGCTATTTCGTCGTTTATCCTGACTCACATCCGAATCTTGATCACTCTGTCTCGCCCTTTTCCTTGAAAGTGTTATTAAGAAGAATACAACAGATAATTAGTATAATAAATATTAATTTTGTATGAAATAGATACAAGTAGACTGCGTATCTTTATGCGAATTCATATTTTTATTAATAGAATTAATGAAATGAAAGTTGTGTAGAGGGTTGTCTCAACCCGTAAGTAAATATAATAATTCGTATCTTGCTTTAATTATTTCTCATATTTTTTAATACTAAAATGCATTCTGTAGTTGTTTGAGAATTAAAATTTATTAAAATTCATTCTAAAACTAGATATATTCATTTATACATTCATAAGTTACGGATGTCTTCACACATGAACCATAAATGGAAGTTTACGAACGA